TGTATTTGTTTTTTAATGTCGGGATCCCTCAATAAGGAAGTGTTAAGGCTTAATGGTCCCCAGTGTCGTGTCAACAGTACGTGCAAGGCTGCTGTCATTAACTAGAAAGAAATCTATTCGGGAATAAGTGCCATGCGGGGCTGAGTAATACGTATAATCCACCTCACTCGGGTGATGGGCCCTCCATACATCTACTAGTCCTGAGCGTGTGATAAAGTCATGAAGCAATTTATCCTGCCCCCCCCGTCCCTGCGATCGGGGCAACCCCTTATGAGAGCTCCTGTCTACTGCTGGGCTCGGTGCAGCGTTAAAATCCCCTCCCGCAAGGATCATACCTCTCGGAAGCGCGCTAAACTTGTCCAGTAGGGTGGCCCAAAAGGTCGGATCCGGACAATTAGGACCATAAACATTCACCAGGTGGATCGTATGGGAGTAAAGAACTCCTGAGACAATCAGATAGCGCCCCTCGTCATCCGCCTCCGACCCTGTAATTTGCAATGGGCAGGTAGTGCGCACCAGGATAGCCACCCCGTTGCGCTTACGGTGGGCCATAGCTTCATAAGAGACCGCATATATATGGTCCCTGAGAGAGAAGCGCCCCTGTTTTGGCAAATGCGTCTCCTGAACAAATGCTATATCTGCTTTTGCCTGTTTCAGTTCACGGAGGAGAAGACGTCTCTTAGTCGGGGAGTTAAGGGAAACGAGTTTTACTGTCATTGTAGCCCCCCAGCTCCCATGCTAGTGAATGGGTCCGCCCGGCCCCCCGGCCCCCCCTCCCCCCCAGCCCCCCAGCGCCCCCGCCCCTGAAAATAGAAGAAGAAGGAAAAGAAAGAGAAGAAGAGAAGTCAAATAGGGTGCGAAAATCTCGCACTGGTGAACAGAGATACAACGTCTGGTCTTACTATCCGCCAGGTGTGAACGGGGAGTACAATCCCTTGATACGCCCATGCACTGAGTCCGCGAGCGTCGTAGGATCATATACCTAAACCCAGTAACGCTGTGACGCTAATGGAAGTAACTAGTGTAATCTCGTGTGCGACACCCCATCCCTATGAGCCCAGTGAACCGATAACTAAAACATCAACAATAGAACCCATTTCGCTAACTTCTGATGCGTCCTCCCCAACCAAACCCTCCCTTAGCACAGGTATCGTATCACCCCTCTGCCTCCTCCCTCCGGGCTTCCGCTTCCATACTATGGGGAAGAAGGTAGCGCTCGATTAACCCCCCCCCGCCTTGCTAGCATGCATAGTGTCCCCCCTGGACGCCCCATATCCCTTTCATCCTCTCCTACTAGAGTGGGGGTTCTCCCCTTGAAGGTCTAGAGGCTAGCCCCTATTCCCACCCTCCCCCCGAGGCTAGGCCCATACAGCTGCTCTCCCCTCCCATCCGTATCCTTGTGTCCACGTGCCTCCTATTCCGTACAAGCCCCTCAGTACGATCCTTCCTGTCCCGTCTGAGCCCTCGCTATCTGAACCCCCCCTTTTCACCCCAGTGTCTCCAATCCCGCAACCTCCCTCCCTAATCCTGCCTCCCTTCCACCACCCTGGAGGAAGATGCCCACACTAAATCCTCCTGAGGTAACTGACCCCCCCCAGGCTCACCATTGCCCCCCCTGCTGCCCCCCTGCCTTCCAGTGCCAACACCTCTCCCCCCTCAGTTCTACTCCTCACCCTCCCTCCTCCCGAGAGGGGTACCACCGAGGCAAAGGAGGCAGGAGCACACCACTGGGACACCTAGGGGGCATGCGTTCATCCCTACCCCCTTATACACCGGACCACTGGGTATGTGCGCTCCCCCTTTCCCCGACCCCCTGGAGGTCCCCTCCTTCTACTCCCCCAGCGTCTGTCCCACTCCATAAGGTCCGCAGTGCTCAGTGGTCCACAGGCAATACCCTCCATCAGCAGTGCGCAGCGTTCAGTGTCCCCAATAGTGGGGGTGCCCATCCCTTCCAGCTGCTCCAGGGAGCCGGGCATACCCCTGCCATAACCTCCATGGACCTTGGGCCCAGACCCCCCCCCCATGCCTCCCATCCCTCCCCACCTAGTACCTTAGCCAGCCACCCAGGGTATCCCCTCCCCCCCCCGGGCCACTCGCTAGATCCTTGCTGCCTCCTACCCCCAGCGTCCATGACACCAAGTCTCTTCCTTCACATACCGCCCAGAGTCCCGTCGGTGGCGGAGCGGTGATGACCCAGCTCACGGCCCTTTCTTCTGGCCCCCACGGCCTCCGGATCCCGCTGTCCTCCAGTTGCTCTGCAAGGGCTGCAATACCTCCACCGGCACTGGTACTGCGGAGAGATTCAGAGGGGGCGCCAGCCCCTCAAAGAGGCACCTGGGGTCCCCCCCCGGCATCAATGTGTGCACCCTGCCATCCCTGAACGCCATTAGGCGAAAGGGGAAGCCCCAGGCATACCGGACTCCAGCCCAGCGCAGCGTTTCGGTGATCAGCTTCCACTCCCGCCAACGCTGAAGTGTACTGGGTGCCAAGTCCTGGTACAGGGCTAAGGAGGTGTCTCCAGATTTAATAGGCCCGTCTCGTCCTCGAGTAGTGCAGGAATCTGATGATGACATCCCGGGGTGCGTTTGCATCAGGGCGCCTAGCCCGCAGGGCTCGGTGTGCCCTCTCTATCTGCCACATGTGTTCCGGGATATCCGGCAATAATGGCTTCACAATGCACAGTATGACGTCTGCCAGGGGCCCCTCTCCTTCTCTCTCTGGTAGCCCCCGGATCCGGAGGTAATTTCGCCAGGATCTATTGGCCGCATTTTCCAGCGCCAGGTCCGCTTCATAAAGGCGCGAGGTAAGGAGGTTCTTACTTGTGACACAACCTCGTTATGCGCTCGAACTGCGGCCTCCATCCGCTCCTCCAAGCGCCCGGTTCTAGCTCCCAGGGCATGAATCTCCGTTTGGAGCACTGCCGTCGACCTCTCGATTTCGCCGGCTAAATAGGTGCGGAGCTCTGCCAGTTTCTCCAAAATTTGCTCCGTGTCTCCCTGGGACGGCTCCCCAGTCCCCCCAAGGCGCGGCGGGGACCATGACGGAGTGTGGCCTTCTCCGGCGCCATTTTGGTCTTCTGCAGGGCCTGCTTTGTTGGCGATCAGCAGGTCCAGCCTCCGGCCCTTTCTTGGGCCCCTTCTTAGGGTTTCTTTTTTCCATTAGGTGGGGGTGTCTGGTTGAAATTAAAGTGCTAAAGTATGCTTAAAACAGCGTTTTTGGAGCAGAGCCTCACACCACCACGTCCAGCTCGCTCCGAGGTCAGTCCACGCCCCCCGGCCATAGCTCTTAAATGTGAGTTTTCTACCTTTTACTACTATTTTACCCTTTGGATTTTAGACATACTGCACTACTGGTTGCCCCTGTTTCTTTGTTTTTCATATATATGAATACCCTGAGACACTAGGACGCAACCACCCCTACTGAAAAACTACTCATCTATATCCCATCAAGCATTGTTGCTGTAGTGAGACTCTTTTGGAATATTTTACGTTATTTTACTTTTTCTGCTGGCACAGCCCTACCCTATCTCTTTGTATTGTTGTCACAACTGCTAGTGTGGTCCAACACGCAGAAACTATGTAAACATAAACATAGAAAATGAAAAGGAAATAAATATGTCAATTATTTATGAATTTCAAAAAGTTTCTAGGGTTTGAAATGTTATTGTTTTGGTTTTCACAGAACAATTAGGCCTTGGCCAATTTTGTTAGTTTTGTGCATATATTTCCCCATTGTCTATATGCACAGTGATTGTTTATAGAGCCAGTACAATTGAACTTTGACCACAATGAATCCCGAAACTGGTACATTTGAATGAGGTCAGCTGTGATCCAATTCATACATGCCCCTTTTACTCTCACCTTACGCAGCGGGCATGCAAATTCCAGACTTGTAGGAGAATTCAACTGCACAGTCTAGATCTGGAATTAGGTTTAATCTGTGCCATGGGAGATTCTTGATGTCATTTAGAAAGGATTCAAGATTAATTTTTTTGAAGGACCTGGTGATTTTAGCCTTGGGAAAGGATTTAGTAGCTTTTATTTTGCGCATGCAGTACACTAAGCAGTGGTCACTGAAACTGTTAGCAAGAACACCTGCCTCCTGTATTCTATCAGGAGAAGTGGAGAGCATCCAATCGAGCAGGGTATGGTTATGGTTATGGCTTTTAATGTTTATGCGATTTGGGGAGGAGATTATTTGCGTTAGCTGCAAAGTCTTAAAAAGCGACCAAGACCTATTATTTTTAGGATTCATCCAATCAATATTAAAACCTCCAAAGACCAACAGTTCACTTTCTGAGTTTTGAGCTATTGTTTCACTAAAGAGATGGGCTATGTCAGAAAGGGAATGCACTGGGGAACTAGGTGGGCGGTAGATTCCTGCAACAATGGTTGATTTACTGCACGTGATCTCAATTGTGCCAGAAAGGAAATCAAAGGTTGCAGGACAGCTAAAGTTTTGTAAGGGGGTGAACTTTATGGAATTGTCAATATAAACTACAATGCCACTTCCTCCTTTTGCTCTGTCATTTCTATGGCATGAATACCCATGTAAAGCAATGGCAGAGTCAAGTATTTTTGCGGTTAGTACCATATATGAAAGTGTAAACCTTGGCAGCCACCAGAACCGAACAGATAAAGCATTTGACTTGGGGTATGCGTGTGAGAGGGATGTGTCTTCCAAGTAGTATAAAGATATCATATGGTGATTCACTCCGAGAAGTGTCTCTGGGCTGCCTGTCAGGTGTCATGTGTAAGACTGTGTTCCAGCCCAATTGAGAGTTAATGTTATAAGCAGTAAATGTTATAAGCAATAAAACTTGGTTTTCAGTCAGACCACACTGCGTTTACCTTTTCACTACTGGCTACAATCCTCATGGGCAATATATCCTATTATTTTGTTACTTTACAATTAATGTTCATACCAGATCAAAATGTAAAAAAAAAAAAAAAAAATTTTTAATGTATTTAGCACTGAGCAGTATTTGTATATTTTTAATGTTTTTGTATTGAGTATGTGTGAGTGAATGTACGGGTGTGTATGCACGTATTGGCATTTGAATGCAGGCGTGCATTTTTCAGTAGCGTGTTTTTTTAATATGGTGGTGTGTTTATATGTAGTGTTGACATTTGGATACAGGGTTGGATTTGTGTGTAGTTTAGGTGAAATGCTGAGATGTATGCACATACACACACACTGGCACACATAGAAACACAGTCATACACAGACAAATACTGACACACATACAGATACAAACATACAGACACATGCAGATACACACACACCAAAACAAACACCGACACACAAACAGACACACATGTATAAGTGTGTGTTTGCGTGGTGAATGGAGCTTGTGTGCATAATGTGTGCAGTGTGTATAGCATGTGCAGTGTGTGTGTGTTGTGTGGAATAAGTGCTGGGAAGGTGAGCAGTGTGTATGGTTTGCACCCCCCCCCTGACACTTACCTGTCCCTCCGGCTCCCATCCTCCTCGACTGGTGGCACAGCTTTAGTTGGGCAGTGAAGAGTGGCCCAGTACTCATCTCTCCATGCTCATTTCCTATCCAGCAGCAGCAGGGTCCTCTGTTCTCGCGATCCGCGAGAGTGTTGCCGCGCATTTCCATAGCAACCTGCGGCAATGCTCTCGCAGATCGCGAGAACAGAGGACCCTGCTGCTGCTGGATAGGAAATGAGTGCAAGTGGCCGGTCCCTTTACATAAGACACAGAGGTGGCGAAATCGCCCCCTCTGTGAAAGTGCGCCCCGGGCACCCCCCTAGTGAGTGGCACCCGGGGCGCACCGCCCCCCGCCACCCCCCATTAGTACGCCACTGGATGTGACCACTAGAGAAACAAAGTGGGAAGAGAGAAGAGGTGATGTAGTGCAGAGGTGATGGTCTATGTACAGGCATATAGATAATCAATGAAAATTGACAAATTAGTCTAAAGGCTGAAAGCTTAGCAAAGCAGAGTATGTGATAATATCTAAGTAGACAAAACATTTAGACAAAGCTGTACACATATATATATATATATATATATTTGCAAAAAGGGTTCTGTCTACTGACAAGTAGTTGCGAGAGACCATTTGAGGGAGAGTGACATGTCTCTCAATAAAGAAAAAAAATGCAAGGGGCAATAAGACAACCTAAATCAAAGAAATAAAAAATGAAAAAGTGAAAAAATAAAAATGAAAATAAAAAGAGTAATAAAATTGAAAAGTAAAAAAAAAAAAAAATTAAAAAATTAAAAAACAATTGCTCCTGCATTGTATTGTATGGAATACTTTTCATTTACCAACTGTTAAGGGTTGTACTTTGTTTGATGTTTACTGAATTTTACTTGAAAATCTTCAATAAAAATTGCAACATGAAAAAAAAACTAAATTAATCTACATGCTTGTCTTATTTTTATTGTTAGTGCTGAGCTCAGCTATATCTGTAAATATGCTGATGCAGTATCCTCAAAATGTTTTGCTTTATTTTGAGGAAGTGATATTTTATATTAAATAACATCCTTGCCCCATGCTGTGATATTCAGTATCCAGTTTTGGCTGAAGTGAAACTATATCACAAAAGGTAAGCTCCTGATTAATATGTTATTCGTTTTTATTCAATATTTTTTGTATTCTAGTTAAAGCTTTATATTTAAATAATAAAAATGTAGTGGATTTTTTTTTCTACATACAGATTTTAGTGTTTATAAACGCTTACAAAAAGCTCCAAACCATGAAGCTTTTTCATATTCTCTGTGTCGTGATGGTGAGTATGCCACTTGTCGTAACCAGTACCCAGTCGTGCCAACATGCAGACAAAAAAAGTGGATCTCCAGGTAAGGATGGATATTAAGACTAAAAGCATCCTCATTTTTTTTATTAAGGTGTAGGTAATTGATTCATTAATCTATTGGGGAATATTTCACCCCAGTAAATGGTGAGATACTTTTGCCTGGGTTAAACACAAGGCAATCACCACTAACAAAAACATTTTTTTTTTTAAATAGTCCATTTCTGGGGAAGTAATTTCCCCAAATCATTTGTATTAATATGTATATAGTAAAATGTATTATATATAGGAATTTAAAATTCGGAAGGTATCTAATTGTTAAACTTCTTGTTGCTTGAATTAAAAATACATTTTGTATCTAAGGGAGTAAAATGAGGGCAATGATCACTAAATGTTTGACATAGAGCCTCAGCATATTGTACAATTATTTTTTTATTTTTTTATTTTTTTTGGGGGGGGCGGGGGGGGGTATTCCCTTGCACTGGAAAAAAAGGGTAAGGTTTGCAGAGGATGAAGATGTCAGATCTGTATCCTTTTTCAATGTGTTATTCCACATATCTCCAAGGAAAACATGCAGAAAATAAACACATGCATTCTTTAGGTCTACTAAAGTTTTAAAAACATTCATAATTAAAAAACACTCCATAATCAATATAGCTTGCTAGAAGTGCCCTGGTGCTATTTTTGAATGCTGAGAATTCTTACCTGGGGTCTCCACCTCAGCTTCCAATGCTGCTGAGCTGGAAGTTGCTAAGCAGGAACTGTGTGCCACCTGTGTGTGCCCATTGTATATTTATGCTGTTCAAGGTATGGGAGGGAGTCTGGTACTTATTGAATCTGATATATATGAGAAGGGGGCATACTACCACATGCATGGTTCTTGAGAAAGGCCAGAGGCTGAAAAAGTTGGGTGTCAAGTGTGCCATGCCCTGAGCTCTTGTACATAAGGAAGGTTGAACATTGCTTCCAGCTTCTGGTAATAGATATCTATTTATTGATTTATTGACCGTCAGTTACTTCTTGCCTTAAAGGTTTGGATGAGTTAAATCCTAAACGAGAATCTTTGGAGCAAGAACTTAGATGTTTGCAATCCAGTGTAGCTGCACTGAAAAATGGTGAGTAATGTAAAAACATTTTATATGCTGTACAGTATTATTTATAGCTGCATACAGCTTAAAAGTCACAAAATAGTCCACATACACAGAGAGCCATAAACATACACTCTTATTGTAGTAGGTTTACATATACAAATATATTTTATAATTCTATGGTCCGCATGTGAAAAAAGCCACAGTACCTGAAGTGGGGAAGTGAAGATGATACATTCCACTAATGACTCATTCCTTTTTACATGTTTGTGCAACTTTTTAAACAGAGCACTTCGATAAATCTCCCATTGTCTTGAAAGCATCAGATTTTAACATAATATGCTGATTTCTCTACAAAATGCATCATCACTGTATACATATCTACTAACCTGCTTCACAGAAGTGACACAATATAGTTAAGGGTAGGTAACTGTACCCTAGACAATGGATACTAAACAACAGAAATTGTATGATTTAACATGTTATGAAGGTATTTATGTTTGGTAAAAAAATTTTATACTGCCAATTAACCCGTTAACGTAGTTACGGCGTTCTATGCCATCCCGCATTAAGTGGGCTTTAAAGCCGTTGCGGCGGCATAGAACGCCGTAATGGCTTGCAGCCCCTGGAGGTCCGCGGTACTCACCTCCACCGCGATCCTCTTCTGGAGGGCTGCCTGACAGACCGGACAGCCCCCTCCTAGCAAATCAGGCCCCGGGGGCCATGTGATTGCTCTCAAAGAGCGATCACATGGCCCCCTATAGCTGGTTGTGGCTCTGCCAGCAGGGGGACTGTCTGAAATGCCCCCTCGTGTTGAGCACCAACGCTTGTGCAGCCACATACCAGAACCCTGAGTCAGCTTATGCGGATCCCAGGAACTAGGAGCTTGGAAATAAGCAGACCTCCCAGGAGCTGAATATGGAGGCTCTGCAGCAGAAGTGTATCCAGTACTGAAGAAAGGCAAGATTAAGGAAGGCACCATACATGAAAAGGCAAAACCAGGAGAACAAGGTGAGACTAGAGATAGGCACCATACATGAAAACAAGACTTCGTTGAACTCAAATATTAGTGTTTCAAACTGGTAAATTGTATTACAACGATGATATTTTAAGTAAAAGTGACGTTTTTTGCATTTTTTTACAAACGAACGGCACTTTTATTATTGCTGTAATATGTTTTACTGTTTGAAAACACTAATATTTGTGTTTAGTGAAGTCTCCTGAGAATAACAGTAACCCCCATGTACAGGTTTTATGGTGTTTTGGAAAGTTAGAGAGTCACATATAAAGCTTGAATTTCATTTTTTTTTACATTGAAATTTTCCAGATTGGTTATGTTGTCTTTGAGAGCGTATGGTAGCCCAGGAATGAGAATTACCCCCATGACGGCATACCATTTGCAAAAGTAGACAACCCAAGGTATTGCAAGTGGGGTATGTCCAGTCTTTCTTAGTAGCCACTTAGTCACAAACACTGGCCAAATATTAGTTGTTTGCTTTTTTCACACAAAAAGAAATATGAACGCTAACTACTAAAAAAGACTTTCAATACCTTGGGTTGTCTACTTTTTCAAATGGTATGCCATTATGGGGGTAATTCTCATTCCTGGGCTACCACACCGTCTCAAAGGTAACATTACTAATCTGGCAAATTTCAATTTGAAAATGGAACGTTGTATATTTGACCCTGTAACTTTCCAAAACACCATAAATCCTGTTAATGTGGGGTACTGTTGTACTTGTGAGACATCGCTGAATACAAATATATGCATTTTTTTGCAGTAAAACCTAACAGTATTATGACATTCACAGCTAAAATGTCAGACGGAAATACAAATTAAAAAAAAAAAAAAAAAAAATCTTATTTTCTCAAATTTTTTAAATTTTTATTCATAATAAATTAT